TCAGTTATTATTGCATTTTTTCGTTTTAAAACTGAACCGGGAAATTGTTAAGGACAAATAATTGTTGAGAGATTTGTAGTGAAAAAAAAAAATGTCTTTGCTTATAATTTAATCTACACTTGTTAATCGCTTGTTTTTTTTTTCCTGTTTTCTACAGAAAGATAATGCTAATTGACTTAACAACAGCACAGTTACACTGTATAAGACCAAAAACCTAAATGTAAAGTGTTCTATGTTTGAAATATTTGGTGCTTTTGTTCCGCTATTTAATTTCAATAAATTTGATTGAAAAATTTAGTGTTTGGTATAATTTAGCCGCTTTTGTTGATGGGTATCATTAAAACTGAAGCATATTGTTTGGTATTTTCATTCCAATTCTTTCCTTACAAAAATTTTTTTTTATTTGTTCTGCATTTAATTGACTAAGACTAAAACTAACATGATTCTATTTTGATCTGTTCAGTTGAGGCTATCAGTCGATCAAAAACCGGCAACAAAAAGGCATTTACATTCTTTTGCAATCTATGATTTTTTGAATAAATAAAAAGAAAAAAAACGCATTTTTAAATTTAAATGCAACAAATCGACACAATCAACTTTAAATATTCTTTTCGAGAAGCTGTTGTAGACGAGGATTGATTGAAAGAAGTTGGAAAAAATAAACATTGCTTTCACACATGTTTATAGGTTTTAAAATCACTGTTAAAATAGAGGAAGAAATGCTAGACCATCAAAAAAAAATTGGAAAAAACAGAAGAAAATGAAAAATACTGAATAGCAATAGATTTCAAAGTTTTATTGATAAGGTTTTTTTCTTTTGAAGTTTTTGTTTTTCTCACTTAACATTTACTACGGTTAATCGGTTTTTGCTCTCAAATATATCTCTTTAATTAAATTGACAATTTTTCATCTTTACCTATTTTTCCACTTACAACTATATCTGATAAGTTTTTTTTTGCTATTGAAATTTGATAAAAAATGTTTTATGAGAAAAAAAAGTTTATTTTTTCACTGAAATGACACTCAAATAATAAATCCGTTTTTTTTTTT